GTTGAACCTGAAAATGTGGAGAGACCCATTTAAGTAACAAAAAGTTGTTTCATAATGTCTTTACTGTCAAAACAACCTTTGCGTTTTGAAATAAACTCTTTACGTCGTTTGGGAGTGCGTTTATTATACCGGCTACGTAGCTCCCTCAGTAACAACGTTTCGTAATGATCTGCCCTCTTTATGCATAGAGAGGTAGCGTGCCCGAGCGGTTAGAACGCTGGAATTGTAACCTGGAATCCCTGAGTTCAATAGCCCCCTAAACGTTAGCTGAATTTGTTCTCGGTAGTCCCCTGGTCAACGGCCAACTGGGATTGTAAACCTTGATATGATTTATTTCAATTTTTTTAATATCATCCAAACATATTTATAACTGTCCATCTAAGCTGCTTTGTATTTTTCTCCTTACCTTAGCATAGTCAATATTGTAATCGGCAATGCCATCTACTCATGAAAATGCCAATAAATGTTGTTGTTGTATTGTTCTTTTTTTTAAAAGCTTTTCCTGTTAATATCTTGGGCCTGTATGGCTGACTGCTGCGTACTTCCTTCTGGGACGATGTTCAACGGAAGATATGGCTTCTTTCTTTTTGTGTTAATTTTTGGCTGGCTTTGTATCATGGTTTTCTATGCTATCTATCTTCTGATGCTAGCGGACAAGTTGATAAAGAAATTCGACTCAAGATTTCTGGTAAGTGGCACAGAAAATATTCATTCGTTATTGACCAAGCGCAAAAAAGAACGAGGCCAAGTTTGGAACAAACCGAACAAGTTTGGTCAAAAAAGGATTTATTAACCTTGTCCCCAGGGCTTTTCCCTTCCCTGGGGAAGAGGTTGAGGATTTATTATATGGCCAAAAAGAGAACTTTTTCTTGCGGGACCACCGCGGGAAATCCCTGAACGGGTAGCCAATTAGAACGCAGAATTCGCTTTATCTTGCCGCTCGTGGATTTTGCTACATAATAAGGCTTAGCATACTGTATGCTATGGTACTGTTTACAATTTCAAAAACTAAGCTATTGGTCTAAAAGAAAAGGCAGCAAAGATTTCAACTGAGTTGATAAGATACTGATTGGCCACCGTAGCTATTGGGGGAACAGGGGGGTCCAAACCTCCCGCCTTCGTTCCTAGCATTTCCGGCTTCCGCCCCTTTTCTTCCTGGATTTATCTCTTAATTAAGCCCTTTGTTCGATTGCGAAATATTAAGTATAAATACGCAATATCCCCCAAACTTCCCCCTTTCCCCTCTTTAATTAATAAGAACTACCATCTCCCGCTCTTTAATCTCCCTCCTTATTCACCACTTGCGCTCCCTATTATCCTTGGCCCCCCGGCACCCGCCCGCTCCGCCCCCCCCCACCCCCCACCAGGGAGATGAAAAAAAAAAACGATGTTTCGATCACTAGCACCTTCATCAGAGCGAATCAGTGGATTGTGGGTTGTGTGAGGCTTATACCATTAGGGCTCTGTTCTTGGTGGAAACATGTTAGCGTAAAATTAAGTTGAATGGAAGGCGCGTTAGTTGATTCCTCGGGGATTAAGAGTGCCAATTTGAAAGAATGGTTTTTGCTCTAGAATTTTGCAGCTCTCCGTGTTGTCTTGGTGAAGAGAAAAAACCTTAAAGCGTTGGCTGGAAATTGTGTTAAAAGTTGTCCTCGAAAACAGTCCTCCAGTGCAGGCCGACACAGTATCGACCCATGTCCAGTCTCACGCCGAACGTCATAATAACCAATTGACTTGCCACTAATTCTTATTTCAGCTTCTGGGGTTTGAAGTTTTATGGGCGTTGCTGATTCTTATCAGTGCTTCCTTGGTGGGACAGGTCGCTAACTACTACGCGACAGTAGGGACCACGACGTCACAGCTGACGTCACAGTTAAGTCAATTAGGTCAAGCTGGAAGCAAAGCTGCGGCTGATGTTAATGAAAACCTTGGCGTCAGTAAAAGATTTTATCAAACAATGGGGGCTGGTGTGGTAAGTAATGAAGGCAAAACGTCTCACTTTAAAACAACAAAAGTTATAACGGAATAGCTTTTGCGCCGGGACGGAAAGTAAAGTGAATTTGAGATGTATCTTTTTGAGCGCCCCAGAACGGAAATAGGCATATGCGCAGGATTCAAGAAAAATACTTTTTTTCACTAATTTAGTGAGATGTGAATTCGCAGGTTACATCTTCCAAAAGTAGTCTCATAACTCGGTTGGTCAGGGAACACAAAAATCTAAGTAAGACATGTTAGGAGGTCGTGAATTTCAGTTTCGCCGGCGTCTTTTATTACTCCTAGTCAGGAGCCCGATTGAGAACGGAATTACATACTAATTGAACTATTCGCGCGTCGTTGGTCGCCATTTTCACAGTTTTATATTTTAAGATGCGGACGTCGTCGGGAACAGTTGAATATTGCGGGAAAGGCTTACCTAAAAATAAACTTTCTTAATGAAACGCCGTTGTGCGAATTGAAGCGAATTGCACGCTCAGGGAGAAGAGCTCCGTGTTCTGATGTATCTAGGAAGAAATCTCAATTCCTTCTACCGATAAGTATTAAAGCGAGTGGCTCAAAACTGCTGACCAATCAAATACAACCTCTTCTTTATAGCACTTTCTATAGCGCCTATTAAAATTTCCCAAAACGAAACTTTTCGTCTTGAACTTAGTACGTGGAAGGCTTAATGCGTATTAAATTTTGCACGCTCTTTTTTTCAGGCGTTCGGATTCTTCGCCCTCGTGGTGTTTATCGTGGATATTGTGGTACTCATTATCAAGATCGTGAAAGCCAGGAGAGGCTCTGCAACGAACCCTGCTCCTGAGTCTTCAGCAAACGGCAACACTGTAAACCCCAAGGCTTAAAAAAAAACTACCTGGACGCATACTGAAACATCTGTTGCCCCTCATCGCTCCTCTTCGTTGAAACGTTTCGCGAGAGAAAATGTCTTCTGTCTCGCTAAACGACTTTACAATACGTACCATATCATAGGCGAACACACTATGGCGGGGCTTTTTTATGGGTCATAATATCATCTATTTCGAGAAAGGTTGTCGGAAAAATGTGCACGCGACAATCCCGAAAGGCAATATGGGATATGATCAGTACACTAGCTGTTCCTGACACTGTAGCTGTCGAACCTACTTTTGTTGCTTTCCTTTAGCACCCGCAAACATAAGTCCATGGCTTGTCGTTCCATTCTTTCAAAATTCTTTGAAGAACAGCGAACCCTAAATCACCCACAATACCTTTCGGGATTGTCACATGCACTTTTTCCGTATACTTTTCTCGAAATAGCTGTATACGACTTTGAATTCAATTTGAATTTTGCTAGTGTGTTTTTCAAAGCGTATGAATATTCGGGCGTATGCAATTTAAGCTTTTTGAAAAACATACAAGTGCGAATAAATTCCAAAACTGTGAACAAGGAATGTCGTATGATTACCCTTGAATAATATCAGAAGCATATAATTCTGATAATATACATGAAAAAATTTACGTGATCAATATTGGCATTTTAGTTCCTTGTTTTTGCATTATGTTTCCTCATTTTTGTACTGTGTTTACTGAAATCTACATTGCTCTAAGCCAATCAGATTCAAGAAATGTTTTTCATGTATTTTATCATTACCAAAATAATTCAGGCACAGTCCTGAGGGATTACACCTGTATGAGTTATGATTATTGGATTTCTGTTCTGAGCATTCTAAAGACCAACTAATATTGCCTTGCACTTCAGTTTTTGTCCAGGCTGAAAAAATCACTTCGAGACACTTTTCTCTCTTAGTACTCTCCATTTTCAGAAAAAATTAGCGCAATAGTTCGCAATAAGTTTCCTCTGGATAAAATTAACAACAACAATGGCGAGAAAACAAATGAATCATGCCAAAGGGTACTAGATTAGTTTATTTCTTTTAAACGTTTTGTGGAAAAAGGTTAAGTGGATAGAGAGTTGATTGAGGTACGCGTATAACGCGCGGAGGATCTTTTGTAGTTATTCTTCTCTAAACCTTCGGGCAAGCTCTTCATTTTGGGGAGTCGCTTGAAGTCTCGCGACTTCACTGCTCGCTAGCGCGTTCTCTCGCCGCTTGTTTTGCGCGCCATGATTGAAGAGCTTGCTCGCAGGAAACCTGCGATCAGCCGTTTCGCCTGATTGCGGGTTAGCTCGCAGGTTGCTCTTCTCTGAACAAGCATTGAGCAACTGGCGGGTCGTATATGGGTCTTTGTCGTGAGAGAAAAATTTCAATCATCTTGTTTCAATATTTGGGGACCTGAAATAAGACAAATAGTTTTTCGTAGCGTTTTGCTTAAAAAGTACGCGTTTAAAGTGTTTTATGTCTTAGCAATAAGCAGTTTTCTAATGATTTTTGCGTCCTTGTACTTGTAACTCGCACACATATTAAATGATTATGACTTAAAACTAATCGTGTACTCTAGGCAGTCAAAAAAATGTCAGTATTTTACACTCTTGGTTCAAATTGTAAATAAATCAGTTGTAGTACACTGCAGCGTGCCGGAATGCATTATAACGGAGTGGGTAATATCAATAAATAAATTATAGTTATTCCTCCTACGTGACTACTTCACGGCGTTTTCGGTATGCCAATTTATTTTAGAAATTTTCAATCAAACGCGCTCAAGCCCAGTTGGGTTTGGTTATATCTATAGAAACGAAAGTAAAACATTAGCACCTAAATATTTTATGGGGATTTTATTGCTTTGGTTTTCTAGAGGACTCTCTACCTGCGCTCTTCTTTCGGAGGAAACTGGTCAATTAATAAACAGGCCCGGAAACGCTATGGCAAGAATACATCAAGTTTGAATGAAATTCTTAGTGTCGTACGTGCAGTCTCATCCTCAGGGCTTTTCCCCGTATCTTAAAAGAACCCTAGGGGTGTTCCTGGGATGATTTGGTACGATCGATGCAAGTCCCGGAGAACGTGCTCAGTAATGTGAAAAAGTGACGTACAATTTCAAAAAACTCGTTCTTTTCTTTTCTATTTTTGCGTTGTTAAGGTTTGCTATAAGGACGTCGTTGGCTTGCTGCCCTGTTTGACAGTAAAAGCCTCCATTTGTCCTTTCATGGCGTCTGAGACTTTTTCAAGTCGCTGAAGTCGTCTGCCTGTGCTTAGGTTCTGCGAGCGAAGAGAATCCTGTGAAGAAAATAAAGAGATTATGAAAGAAACAATAGAACATGGTCAACATGCTGAACATGCTTTTATCGAAATCATTATGTTAGGAACAATGACTGCGATGTCGCTTTAAAGTTTTTATATTAAAAAGACAGTTTTGGAATAGATTTTAAGCTAGAAAGCAATATCGACACAGCTCTGAAGTCGGGAACAATACTGAACATGTTGTTGATAATTTTAAAACAAGCTCAGGAACAAGTAAACTTGATGTCGTCAAATGAAAATTCGATTCTCTTTCGTTCAAGTTGGGAGTTAAAAACACAATTTTGGACTGAAATTGAAAACTTTATTTTGAGAAACACTGCGTGCAAGTGATAGTGGAAACATTATTTATAACAATGCTGGCAATTAAAAGAAAAACAATGTCATGGTGAAATGTCAAAAACATAGAATAGTCCCGCAGACATTTCTTTCCAAGAGCTAAAATTACGCGGGAAAAGTAATTATAACTCGATGTTGCCCATTAATCAGATGTCTTTTACAATTACTACTAAAAGATAAGTCACGGTATGTTCAGAACTAAAAGAAAAAACACGACAAAAAGTTGTTTTTAATTTGATACCGAAAATACCTGTTGTGTGATTGTTTTAGTAACTCCCGAAAGAAAATGTTTTGATTAAAGATTTTGAAACTTCGTGTTTTGCATTGTCTGTTATAATTGGAGTTTTCCTATGTGGTAATTAAGCACCTAGTCTTGCGACGAAAACGACGTTAATAATCAGATACTGACTTTGTCTAAACGGTACCCAATTCTCACGAAATTGCCTTTTTTATATCTTATTGTTTCCCGTGCTGTTATTGGAGACATTTTTAACTATTTAATCCAAAACGTTTTAAATTTCTAAATCCTAAATTGTGTATCTATAAACTCCAAATATGCCCTGCACCCGTTTTTTTTTATTTTTAGAATTCGACATAGTCTGTACAACTACTAACAGTATATTTTTGAAACACAGCCTATTATCTTTTCTCCTGCCTTCTGTCAGACAGAAGCAGCTGGTTGGCTGTAGGAAGCTGACTCAAACTATATTTCTAAGAAATATTTATAAGGACATGTACAAGCTTTTGATTTCGTGGCCGAAATCCTTGTAGTGGCCAGTTCTCAAATGGAACCCAGTCTTTGAGGCCCCCTCGTGGTACTATTAATTTTTCAGCACCTTAATAAATGAAACTTAGGAACGTTTTTGATGAATTTTGATCAGTTTCCTTCTATACAAATCTTACCAAGTCGCGTAGAAGCCCTGAAGTTTCTTCCTCTAGTTTTCTTGTGCTTGAACCCATCTGGTTTATAAGCCGGTGAAAACTGGTTTTTGTTCTTTGTGAGTGGTCAGGTTTTCTCGTATCAGTTAAACTTGTTTTACCTATTTCTCCGTCGCTACCGCTCTCGGATGAATAACTTTCAACGCTGAAACTCGCCTGCATTTCGCTTCGCCTTGTTTTTTCGGTATATTCCTTTCCATAAACCATTGTTCAATCGTTATTAGGTAGTTCTTTGAAGACTCGGCTAAATTTTTTGGCGGGAGAAAAATAGTTTTTTTCAGTGGGCACGTTAATGCCGCAGCTCTAGTCTGAAATCGTGGTACAAGTGACGCTTTGTTAGAATAATGACCTTGAGCGAGCTGAAAGTTTGATTGAATATTTTATGCCAAATGGTTAAATAATTTATTACTCACGCACGTGGCATGATATGAAGGCAGATAATGAAAGAAATAGCAGTAATATCCTGTCAATAGGAAATGTAAAGTTCCACCTGAATTAAATTTCAAACGAAGTATTGTTCTTTCATAGATAAAGAAGAAAATGTACAGAGGCAAAATCAAGAATAAATAATGTACTTGTACAAAATAACTGAATTGAAAAGCCACTGAAAAGCGATAGCAAGCTATAGCTAACTGTCGATAATGACCTTTTCTTACACCTCTATCTTATCGCAGAGTTTTTTTGTTTGATATTTGTGCATAATTAGCAAACCTTACAATTAAAGGGAGAAATTTCCCTCGAATCCTAGGTTTTGATCGGAAAATTGTTATCGGGATAATCATTACTTTGTTTAAGGGTAAATTTCCACTGTCTCGTAATTTTTAATTGCGTACGTGCGGCAGTAGAGAGATTTAGAGTCAGGTTTTACGGCAGACGTGCCTTTGTACCACGTGACGAAGTTTACCGCTTCTTCACTGTTTTGTTTATAACAATTGTTTTGGACTGTTTTAAGCTGAACGTCATCCTCGGAGACCCAGGGGCAGATAAAGGGGGCGAAGGAAAGTCGAAACGGACAGAAAAATATATATGGAACGAAGAAAAATAAAAAACGACGAGAAGAGCGCAAACACAAGTTTTCTGGCACCAATAAGAAGCCAGGACGGCGGTGACCGTTTGGAACTGGTCTGGTAAGACATTGTCCCCAGGGGCTCTTCTCGCCGTTCTCTACTTTTCTTCGTGCCATATTTTTTCGCCCGTTTAGACTTTCCCTCGTCCCCACTATCTGCCCCTGGGTCTCCGTGGATGGCTGAACGTTTTCTATTTTGAGAAATTCTTAACTTGAATCTGACGTTAACCGTTTGCCGTAAATGACACTGTAAAAAAGGTCGCGCTTTAATCAAAAGTGAAACTCAACCCACTCATTGAAAGGACAGTTAACTTTCACGTTTGCGCGCAACCTTTCATACATTTCTTGTATTTTATTTACGCCAGGAGCCCGTGTTGATGGGCTCCTGATTTACGCACGTAAAAATTACACGAAAGTGAAAATTTACTGCACGCTATCCCTATTTATCCTTTTTTAAAATCTTTTCTTTTGAAATATTTCGGCTGTCCTTTCCATTTTTTGGAAGGAAAAGGATGATCTGTAAGCACTTTTCCTGCGCAAAAAAAAAGTACTCAAATATATTCATAGTGAAATATTTTTAATAAATGTATTATATTATTATTGTAATTATTGGTCTCTCTATTAATTACCTATTTCACCGACTCGATTTCAGTAATTCAAGTAGATCTTTCAACCCTTTCTCCTATCCCATGTAGTGATAGTACTGTAAATAAGTACTCAGTACAGAGTGAAGTATTTGTAATATATGTGTAAGATCAATTATTGTATCTCTGTCCGTTAATTATAATCTATTTCACTGATACCATTTCAATGAATTTCAATAGATCTTTTGTTACCTTCAGGGAGACTACTTGTAAAAGCCCGTAAGGGTTTCTTTAGTCTTCCTCCCAAATTCATTACATTGTAACACACCGTATGTACTGTATAATATTATGGGAAATAATAAACTCAACTCAACTCAACCCCTGGAAACGAGGGATGTTGAATGTCCAGCGGCTCATTGCAGTATCAAATAACTCCTCATGTAGTGTACTATGAAATTCAGACGCCATCAAAATATATTCTTGACTGAGTGCAGTGCAAATTAGCGCGATAAATTGTCTACAAATATGGGGAAAAGGGACAACCGAGTGGTAAGAATTGTTTTAAAAGATGTAATCATTCAATAGAGGGTATAAAGCAAACCGTTAAACTCACCGAAATTGTGAATATTTCTCATAGAAACCACCTACAAAGCTTCTTGACTTCTTTTATTTTACTTCTCAGGCGCATGTGAACCCTGTTGCAATGGCGAGGGCAAGAGGGCCGCCACCGTCTTCAGGACCAACAATAAGAGATTATCTCAACAGAAATAGACCAACGCTGTGAGTAATAGTACCTTTGTTGTGCAGTTTTGAACGTCTACAAGCACAGAATGATTTAGGAGCAGGTTTAGAATATATATCCTCTAACCAACATAACAGCTGGTTATTGTCATCTGGGCCGAGTTGTTCAAAGCTGGTTTAAGATAACCCTGGGTTAGTGCGAGATTTGAATTCAGATATGAAAGCTTATAAAACATTTCAGTTTTAATTCCTTTTGTCTACAGGTTTATGATTGGAAGCTCTAAAAGTAACAGAGAAAATTATGTGAGAAAATGCTTTCTAACACAAGAAAAAGAAACCTGGGTTAAATTTAAACCCCGGATTAAGTGCTAATCGGGAAAAAATATCCAACTGTCTGACAATGCGGCAATGCCAGTTATTGTTATCTCTCTTTCAAACATTAATTTGGTGAATACTTGTTTTTATTGGCTGTGTCATACCACCTAGATCTGGGTAGTGCTTTTACTAATTGGTCATGCTGTGAGGAAAATTTGTTTTAACCAATCAGAAGCATTACTCAGGTCTTAGTAGTGACACATCATCAATATGGAATTTCCGGGCTCCTTCCTCAGATATCATTTCGTGGGGAAACCAGTGTCGGGTTTTTTCTCAGGCTACAAGTATGTTTGCTGTGTCTGGTACCTAGCCTTGACTGGGACAGCTTGCACTCTTTTCTATTTTTACATCTTTTGTCAGGGAGGAGGTTAAAGAAATGATGAATAAAAGGAAGACAGGATCAGAGACATTGGCTGCCTTTGAAGAGCATTTAAATGAGGTGACTTTCAGTAACCTGAGAAAACAAGCAACATTTTGGAACGCTTTCATCAGTTCCCCTGCCAAATGATGTCTGGGGATGGAATTTCTGTGCTTGTTCCTCAGATATCATTTCATGGGGAAACTTTTGGTGGTATTGCAAAATGTTGGCTGTTTTTTCCGGACAAACTGTCAATGGCTACAGGGCTTGAAAAAAACTTGAAGTTCATTTTGTCCATTGGATAAACAGCTCTCAAATTTTCCTCACCCACAGCGATTGCCTATTTTGTTAAACATTTTTTGTGTGTATGTGGCTACCTGGACCCTTGCCCATTGTGTGAACAAGTGAGTTTTTCAGAAGTAAAATTTACTTGTATGAAATGGATGAAACTTTTTTCAAGCTATGCACCTGTTTTCAGTAAACCAGTCCTATGAATATTGTAGTATTGTACAGGACCAAGAGTACTATCAAAAGGTAATAGGCAGGTTTCTTCATACTGTGAGAAATTTCTCTTTTTTGTGCAAGTATAATGCACCCAATCCTGATATTCATATGACAAGTCATCTCAAAATTTCAAATTGTATTTTGTTAATTTTCAAACCCAGTGTTTGGCAGATGTGTTCAATTGTACAAAGACAGTATTTACAGTGCAAATTTGAACAGTAAAATAGATCTATAATTTGTTAGTTTATCTAAACAATTGCAATTCCTGTAAAGGTTGAGATGACCTGTTACAGTGTAGTTTAGTAAGGACTTGAAACAATTTCATGTAAGCTGTTTATACAGCCTGCTGTTTTTGTTTGTTGTTTGTTTTTTATTACTCTGCAGAAATTTAAAAATGAATTAAAGAAAAACAGAGAGAAGATACTGGGTGATGCAGAAAGCTCATCAAAAACAAAGAAAAAAGAGGTACATATTTTTTTATTATCTGTCACAGGTTTTCACATTCTCCTCTTGTTCCAAATGCATGTTCCAAATGAATGTTCTAACTACAGCTGTATTAGCCTGCAGTGCAGGCGTATTTTGGGTGGGCGAAACCTTGTTCGTGTTCGTGATATTGTTGTAGCCGACATCTTTGATTTTATGGAAGTGGAAGATTGGGGAGAGTAGAAATAGTAGCCCTTACGGTAGGTGCGAGGGCAAAAGAAGGAAAGGGGGAAGGGGGAGGGGAGAAAAAAAATACGCCTGCCCGATATCATTGTTCTTTTGGGAAACTCCGTACGCTGGCAAATGGAGCTCCTGATTGGTGCGGCATAGGGAAGTAGATTGATGCCTGTCAATTAACTGTAAGTCTATATTGTTTATTCCGTTTGGAATTGGAGCGGCTGGGAATGTCGCGTGTATTACGCAATGAGAAAGTCAAAGCTATTTCTACACTGGTCATCAGGACAAGATTTGTTCGTAGTACTAAAACCTACACCACTTTTACCTCATGCCAAAATGCTTCTTGTTCCAATACATGTTTTTTTTTTTTCTGGCGGGTAGATTATGCTCTAGAGGATCCTAGACGGTTCTATGTTTTGACTGAGCAAATGTGATTTTAGCTGCTTGTTTCACACTGAGAGGTCATGACACGCTTATTGATTTTCTGTGGTTTTTGAATTTCTGGTCTTCATGATTTGCCCTCTGATACAAGAGCGTTTTCTTTGACCTCTTTTGAAGCGTAAAGATCTTTTTTGTCACTAAATAAGGCTGTTAGGTTCTTTATTTTTGTCCAAAGAGCCTCAGAGTGTGATGTTTTCCTGCAATGTTGTATCACGCTGGGCCCAGCTCGTTAGTTTTTTAAATTGTTTGCAGGATGTTAAACCCTCATGGATAGCGATTCACAGAGATGAATTTAGAAGGAGGAATTGCAGCTTAAACTGAAACTTCATCAGCTTTGGAGAATTGCATTGTGACTCAGTCAAGATAAAAACAATGATAAACTCCAGCTTGTTTTTCTTAAGACAACCTGAGTCTTTGGACTGGAGCGACTGTTTGGTTGTTTTGTTATTGACGGCTACTCATTTCTGGAAGAGCGGTCACGCGCGTCTAATTAGGGGGTGTTTCTCATTTTCACAGTGTTTTCTCTTGTCTCTCCCCGCCCCATCCCCACTCCCTTTGACTCACCCCATTTCCTCCTCTCGTCGGGACGTTTCAACATGACACTTTCGCGAGCAAATTGCGCGCTCAAAGAAAACGCCTGCACTGCAAGCTACAGCTATATGAAATCCCACCATGTTTCAGACCATTTTTATGTGTTCTCTTGACGATAATGTTTTTAGCCCTTTAAGTCCCAATAGTGACCAAGATCAATTTTCTCTTAACAATATCCATACACTGTCAAGATATTTGGTTATGAGAATTTATAAAATGAACACCTGCTGCTTTGCTTTGATCTTTTATCAAATTCTCTCAACTCATTCTTTAAGGAAATATATAAAGATAAGTTTGGAGAATTTGTATGTGGACATAATGGCAACCTATTGTATTTTTACATATTTTTAGAAAAAGAAATCTAGTAAGCACCGAAAAAAAAGGGTGAGTTATTGTTCCTGACTGTATAATAGATATTATATTAGTTTTATAAAATGCATTGCATTGCATGAAAAGAAAGTAAATTTTTTGTTTCTTTATGTATCTTGAATTTTTTTTGCGACAGTAAAAGAAGGGCAAAAATGTATTTTGTTACCATCATCATGATCACAGTTTTTATTCAAGTTATTGTAAGTCCTTATATGGGAGAGATGTATACTATAATAATATTAGGCAAAAGACAGCTTTGGAAAAACAGGTCAAATATTTTTCTTTTCTGTTTATTTTTTCTGTCATTAAAAATTTTCTGAGGAAATAGCACAAGTTACTAGTGAGCTAATCAGGAGGTTCTGCTTGTTTTCTTTCAAGCGTCGTTCTTCATCGTCATCATCAACATCAACTTCTGATAACAGTGAATCAGAGGAAGAAAAGAAGGTGGGCACTTGACCAAACTGGCTTGTTAGGATAAAATTGCGAAAAGTGACAACATGGCCTATGAAACAGTGTTATAAGACTACTCAGGGCTCAAAATTGTGACTGATACAGTTGTCAATGCGACTAAAAATTCTGGTTTAGTCACCACTTTGGCGACCAGATTTCTCTATGATTTAGATTTAAATTAAAAGAGTAAAGTTAAAACAAACTTTTCATCTTTTCTTGCTTTGCTTTTGTCATAGAAATGTGCCAAATCGCATAAACAAAGCCAGTTTGCATGTACCTCCAAATTTATACCCACCTCTGTCCGTGATATTTTCAAACAATCAAATCTGATGGATCGCGCCATACTATGAGCTGCATCAGTTACATACAAACTGGCAACTAAAAATTTACATCTGGCGACTATATTTCTCCAGTTGGTCGCCAAAAGGTGACCTGAGGATTTTTTTAATTTCGAGCCCTGCTACTACTACTACTGACATAAAGATGGGTTGAATACCAACAGGGCCATATCAAAAATTGATAGTTTAGTGATTTTTCAGTTCTTCAGTGTATAGTGCAGTGCAAATTTAACTCATTCCATCAGAAACGTAACAGTAACATGATTAGGCTTTTTAATTATGTTAAATTGGATCTGTTCATTGCACCAAGTCAAATCAAATTGCTGTAGTGTTGACCAGTGTTAGTTCAAGTTTTTACCAATTAGACAAAAAGAAAAGCTAATGGGATGGCATTTGAGTGGAGTTACAAGAACCAGAATTCGGGGAATGCGAGTTATCCGAGTAAAAATGACTGAAAAGTCAGGTGAAATCTAAGGGAAACTGGACTTACCGGTAGTTCAAGTTAGTGGGGAGTTCAAGTTATCTGAGTTTGAGTTATTGGGCTTCTACTGTATTTATCTATTGACTTTAGCTTTTGATTTTACTCACTTTTGTGTACTTTCAATATCCTGCTGGAAATCCAACGTTTGAATTTGCTTTTTAATAATTTCTCATTCAGCTATGCAGTTATCAACAGAAATATATAATTCTTTGGTAGTCTCTTCTAGTAATGTCAATAATATAATTTTGTAATAAATCTGAGAATTTAGGACATAGGTGTGCTTCCTTGAAAGATGCTCAAGTTTAACCCAGGTTTAAGCAAAATTTTATGCAAAGTTTTGTTGTTTGGAACATGTCATTGTAGCTTATCAGGTGTCGCTGTTCCTTCACTCTGAGATCTAGTCATGGTAATGCAAACTTTTAATCTATATATTTTAAACTATCTATAAGAAGGTAAACAATAACATGGTTTAAAATTTTAATCCTGGATTAGCACTAAGTCGGCCTTTCAAGAACCAGACCTTGATCATCTGATCTCTTGATCCTTTAACATCTTCTCTACCTGCTTCTACAATGTTTCATTATAGAAAAGAAGAAAGAGCAAAAAGAGAAAGAAGCGAAAACGCACTGAGGCTGACAGAGATGCAGAAGAACCAAAGGTTAAAAAGAGAAAGAAGAAGCACAGAGATGATGATGAGCTGTCCTCATCTTAACACAGGTACATGCTATACTGTTTTTTACCACATTACTCTTCTTAGAAGCGCAAGATTAATTATAGGTGACCTAAAATCTGATTATCTCTCCACTCATGTATGTGCATTATCGATACAGTACAAACCGGCATGGTTGGCAAATTGACTATGGCTTTTTTAAGGGGCCAATCATGGTGACTAATCAAACCATGGTACACAAGTGCGGACCCAGAACAAGAATTTCATTGCTTTTACCCAGAAGAACTGAAAGGAGCTGTGTCACGAAATTCAGCCAAATTAGGAAATTACAAAATGCCTGTTAAATTAGGAGAACATAAAAATAACGGCTTAAAACTTTAAAGGAAGATTAAAATAACATAACAGAAACAACAGATGCCACGGATAGGCAAAACTGAAGAAGATTGAAACAGATTGAAATTAGGGTTTTTGAAAACTGTTCAGCCTAACAGTTTTTCAAAGTTGATCCCTGCTGCTTGCAACTTCACAAATAATGCTCAGGAGACATATTTGTTTGTCTCGGATCTCTGGGTTTGTCATTCACCTGTAATTTCTTTGCTTACGTTAAGTTCCATAGTGATTGAGGACGAGTAATTGGCAAAATTAAACAAAATGAACTGGGCTGCCATGACACAGCCCCTTTAACCAGAGGTTTAGTTCCATCTTTGGCACAGGTTATATAACCATTCTCCCGACTTTTATGCCCATATTAGACACATCAAGACTGCAAAATGGAACAGCACTTAATCTATCGACAAAGTAATATTGATTTTTCGTTTGTTTCTTTAGGTCCAGGTCAAGAACCTGTAAAGTTGGCGTGAACTCCTCACAGTTCTGCTCAACTGCAATAACTTTTATATTTCTTTGTCAAGCTTAAGGTGAAAGACCAAGTTAATAGTTGAGCAGAAAAAGTATCCTGTAATAGATATGAGATGGTCAAAAATTCTTGCATTCAAGGTTGAACTTAAATCTTGAAGCCCACATCAGTCCCTGAAGTCTTTCTAGGAAAGCAAAGTCAGCAAAAACAAATAATAATTATGCACTAATATGCCTGCTACAAGAACTTGGAGGCTCTATATGGAGTTAACACTGACTATAAAGAAAGGACCATTATGAATTTTATTGAATGGGAAGTGGAGGATTTTTGTCAGCAGGGTTTGTTTTTGCTTCTTAATAAGTTTTGCAAGATTTTCTTCCTCTAGACTTTTAAAAATTAGTTTTTTTTTTTGCACAAAATCACACAATGGATGCCTTACATAAGCCCCTTAATGTCTAATTAATAGTTATGGGAACAAAACATGTCTAGATTGTGGTATAATATTAATTTTTATTTTCAGAATAATTTCTTGATGTAAATAGTTTTCTACACAGCAATAAATATCATAAAACAGCACAAGGTAAAAGGCATTTTCATTGTTACATTTTGTTAATTTTTTTAAATATTTGAATTCAGAAGGCAATGATCAAAATCATAATATGATAGAAATGTGCATGTATCGTAACTCTCATCAGTTATCACGGTGGTTAACATCTGCCTCAGAAAAACCTACTTTTCTTCTTGACACTATGTATATCATGACCTATAGCCTGTGTAGCTGGCGGTTTTTGTGACGGGGTTTTTTGTTTTTGGTTTGTTTGACCTCACACACAGGTGTCTCTCGAACATACAGAAAAACATACGAAAAACCACCAGCTATGCAGGCTATACATGTATGACTTACAATAATATTAACCAACCAAGGCCTTAATGATTTTTACCTCTCTGCAAAACTAAATTAATAATCTACAATAATAGTCAGTTTATTATACAATGCAGTACATTAAAAAAAAAAAAAAGATTTGTCATTCCATGCAGTTGACACCCTCCTCATCCCCCCTCCTCAAGGCAAAATCCTAGGTCTGCTAGCCTTGCTCCCTGATGCTAGGAACAGTTCACCAGGAGGAACATCTGCACCTCAGGGACAGAAATTCCATACTGATGATGAGAAATCTGTCCAGAATCTGGTCAGTAGATCTGATTGGTCAACATAGTAGTTGTATTGTTTTACCTATTGTTTACGAGTGACAGACAAAAGGCCACAAAGGTCAAATGTAAACAGGGTTGTAAATGTGATGAATGTACTACAAAACAGTCAATATTCCTGGAATAATTATATTCTTCTTTAGAAAAAGCATCTGAGTTTTGCTGGAGCTCGTTCACAGTATAACACAAAACTTTACCATGATTGACCAGGAGAGACATAAAATCAAACAATATTAATATACATTTGGAACCTCATGACTACTGTATTTATTTATGTAAACATTGATTTATGTCAGACGTTCTTCCTAACAAAATGTCTCTAGTGGTGAGGAGCAAGGAGAAATGGCTGTATTCACAGACTATAGGTCTGCAAACTTTGTGTTCCAATCTCTGACCTACAAAAGGCAAAATCCTAGGTCTGCCACTTTGGATTACAATCTCTGGCCTACAGCCAGTTGCCAAGAAAATACAAGATTTACAGTCCATTAAGAAAATATCATCAATTTCCTTTTGGTTCATCTCTGTTTACTTTGATCTGTGCTGATGACAGGTTTGGCTTTAACAAGCTTTGCTTCCACCACCGCCGAGAGCAGTCCACTAAACATCTCATGAACACCTTGTCCAGTAGCTGCTGATGTCTCATAGTATCTGCATGATAAAACAAATTGTCTCAAAACTAGCAAAATTAAAATGTTTCAAGAGCTCAGTGGTATAAAGACCAACAATTCAGAAACACAAGTTAAAAGTGATTGAGGATAAAACTTAACGTTTTGGTGTCATCGATATCATCACACCAATTTCTAGTCAAACGTCATTCAATTTTATCTTGTTTACTTTTTACTTGTTTTTGTATTTGTTTTTTAAACAACATTTGCTAATTAGAATTCAGAAAAAGTCAACAAAAATTGTTTACAGACCTTAGGTCATGGGCTTTGGCCCATCTCTGTCCATCTTTGCTGCTTACAGCGCGTTTGGAGTTTAAATCAGTCTGTAATGGGAATGAAAGTATGATCAAACTGAGAATATTTCAAGGTAGCTTATGAGCACCATAAATATGGAATGCACCCTTCTCAAGCCTCTTGTGGTGAGCAAAATTGGTTTGAACTGTTTTGAATTAATTTTTCTAACAAATTGGGGTGGTTGTGGGGATATTTACATTGTTTGGCTTGGGAAGGAAAGTCAGGTTTAATTTTGATATGAATTATTGGGAGGTCCAAGAAACTGTATGAGGGCTTGATAAAGCAGCATTCTCCTGTATATTACATGAGATCACTAAGCGATGTTCTCAAAGACATGAAGGTAGCCCTTATATAAAAATGTGATGAGTCTCTCAATGAAGTTAAGTCTGGCATGATTATGACTCAAATGAAACATCTTAAGTTTAAGTACTTGTAGTTACTACTAAGTACAGTGCCATTTGTCTTATTTATTTATTTATTCACCCAGGTTCGCCAATTCTTGGCAGGGTCTCCGCAACAGCGCGACACGCCACTATGTGGGCCCTTAACAGTCCCTCCCCCTCCCCCCTTCTCCATGAGAGATTGACCACCACACCAGGACTAGGTCCCCTGCTCTTTATGAACAGTGTGTGGGTCCTTTAACATCCCGCAGACTATTATTTTAATTTGCAAGGGTTGTGAGATGGGACCTACAGTTTATCATCCTTATATGAGAAGACTAGAAAGTCTTAACTGTTTGCAGATGTCTTTACAAAGGCAGCACTTTCTCCTCAGTTACTTAAAGACCCTGTGTGTTGGTCCGACCAGGGTTTGAACCAATGGCCTTCCACTCGGCAGACTGGTGCTTATCCAATTGAGCTTATCGGGCAGAATTTGGAACTTGTTGGGAATGGAGGGGTTTTATAGTTTGAATTTATATTTCCTGTAAGTTTGTGTTGGACTAGACAGACCTTATTGGCTACCACAGCGATGACAGCTTGTTTTCCACCATTAGTTGTAAACTCTTGCAGCCAGTACTCCAGAGAATCAAATGATAACTTGTTTGTAACATCAAACACCAGAATACAAGCCTGCAAGTACACAGTCAACAACAAATTTATTAACCTTCCCTAATAATCAGAGTACACTTTGAAAATTATTTGCATTCATACACCAATAATTATTAAATATGAAACTAAGAATGAGGCTAGCCTCGTCCGCTGAGGCCAGTTCATGCTATTTGAGTGAGCAAAAGGGGTTTAGAACTGAGCAAATGGGGGGGCTCCTGACAAGCTTGACAGGTGATGTCGCATCTGAAAATTGCCGAGGACAACTTGGAACAACCTTGGAGTTTGGCATTTGGTCTGAAATATAATTTAAGGGAGACTTAACGATAACTTATGGCTATACAGTCAGGTAGCTATTGTATAGATTTTCTTTACTACTCATCAGCTTAACTCTAACCTGTGTCTGCCCATAAAGTTCAACTCTTATTTCATCATAATCTGCATGGCCACCAAAATCCCAGAAATTGATCCTATCTATGAGGGAAAAAAAAGCACATCTTTATCACCGCCATCTGTGTAAACTTACTTAATACCAGCCTTTTTGTCACAGTTAAGCATTTCATCACTTTTTCCAAAAATTCTCTAATCGAGGAGGAATGCAGCCAGACTCTAATAAAAATACAGAATTTCAAGTTTCCAGCTGATGTCATAATGGCAGCCATATTGGTTGACATGGTTACAAACCAAGAATATGATTGGGCTAATCTGGAATTTCCTGAGGTGGGAGATCAGGGAATGAAAGCAAAACATTATTTTTGTTGGGAATAATGATATACATCTTTCCTAGAATGATTACAGAGGTGGTACCATGTCTTTTCAGTGGTTTATAAGATTACTTAATGCTGACATTTAGAATACTTAGTATTAATGCTGACATTGTAAAAAGTGGTTCAAACCACTTATTTTTTTTTAAAATCTACTGAGTTTGATTTTGCGTGCAATAAGCAAACTCACAGTCAACGCCATTAATTTTGTGCAGCTTGAATCCTGAAAGTATAAATAGCAAACAAGCTTAAGAATGAAATTTATTTCATGATGTTAGTGGTCTCAAAAAAATATTATGGTTAATTTTAGTTTCCAAGTTAAAAAAAAAATAACCATGATGTTGAATAGGCATGCTCTTCTCATAGTGTTCTCTTTTGAGGAAGTCCTCAGATGTAAACATACCTAAATCATCATCCACATCATAATTTTATGACATTATCATCACCACCACCTCAACACCATCACGTTATTGTTAGTATTAGATTTGAAATTACAGTCGACTCCCAATAATTCGAACCTTCAAAGGAAGGAGAAAATAGTTCGAGTTACCGGGAGTTCGAGTTATCGAGGGTAATATTATATAGAAAATGATCTGAAGGGAAACGTATTTAAAAATTGCTTCAATTTAGCGGGAGGTTCAAGTTATAGAGGGTTCGAGTTACCGGGATTTGACTGTATAACAAATCATCCCACATCACATCATTATCTCGCCATCATCATCACTGTCCTCATCCTAATCAGCCTCGGCATCAGCATCTTATCATCAAGCTTGATCATCATCGCTGAATATCATCACCAAATTATCATCATCATCACCACATCACATCATTGTGACATCATCATCCTTATCGCCATCATCATTATCTCATATGGGGATTAAGCACTGTCTATAGACCTACCATAATCAACTCCCACTGTTGGGTGGTAGCTTTTAGAAAACTAAGAAGGAAATATACAATGATCAGAATTAACTTTCCTATCATTAGAATATTACATTCAATTATTAAATTTTGTGTTCTAATGAAATCTTCTTCAGGGAATAAAATTAAAAATATAATAATATTTTGTTTTCCATTTTCAATAAACAATAATATTCTGTTTCAAAGTATGTTAATAGACTGAAATTGTGGTTTTTCTTGACGCTTGTTTTCTGTTACGCCTGTGATCGGTTGTTCTTTTCCGGAGAAGCCTGGCGGGAGCCTGATCGCAGGTTAAGTTAGAGTTGGATCATTTTTGCACCTTTTTTTCACAGAAGTTCTTCACTAGACAAGTCTTCCCCACGCCATCATTTCCTATTCCAACAACCTGGTGCAATAAAAAGTTATTTCACAGACTTAATAATAAAAAACTAGAGCTGACAGCTGCAAAAAATGCATGTTTCGACTACTTTTGAAACATAAACATGTCGTCCTTTCCCCGTAAAATAGAGCACTACCTTTATCCAGAATAAAGATCCAGCGATCTCCTGCACTGATTTTGTCAAATGTCCTGGTTTCCTATCCATAATTTCGACATTACTAAAACGAGTTTTCTTTTGTAAACAAAATGTGGAAAAGTTTTTGGTTGCTTTGGGCAGCGGTTTTGCATCTGTTAATGGGTAGGTACTTCATATATGATTAGCGTGGTTACTCAGCACTTTCCAACTTTCAAGATGGCGGAATTTGCAGCCCATTTAAACCAAGGAACGACCAATGCAAACCCTACGATATTTGAGATAGTCGCCGAAGAATCTATGGCGACAGTCCTTAGACCTGCTGTTTCTTATGGCTTGAAAGTTTTAGCAACCTCAAATCCCGACAGATGGGGCTGGTTATGGAGTGTAGGCGACGAGTTGTACTTCATTTTAAATTACATTGTCCAGAATCACTACCTGAAAAACTTTGGAGGGTCAATCTCGGAACACTTTTATGGTCTTAAAAGAGCGATCAACGTTGAAAATGGAGATAGCAGTGGAGTGATTTCAAATTATCACAGATACTTGTCGTTAATAATGCTTGTTGCGGTTCCTTATGCAAAACTCAAACTTGATCAACTTTTCGAACGAATAAGGGAAGAAAATGTGACCGGATATCTAGCCTCCTACTCTTCCAGAAAACGCTCATATTTCCTTCAGCTGAAGAGAGTATTTATCTATGTTTATCCCTGGTTGCATTTTACTTGGGAAACAGTGATACTGTGTTATTATCTGTTGTACATTTTCAAGTTTTGTAATGTTCATTCTCCTTTACTGCACGTCATTGGAGTCTCACTTCAAAGGCTTACAAGACAAGATATGCTTGCACACAGCATGCAGAATGTTAATACTGGCTTATTCAGCGGAAAGACATTGACCGAAAGAATATCAGCCATTCCAAGATCACTAGCACATTTGCTGGCGTCAGTTTTAGCTAACGGTCTCCCAGTCGTTGTATTCTTTTTGAAGTTTATAGACTGGTGGTATTCAAGTGAGAACAAGGGAGCAGTTCAAGCTGTTACACAATTACCAATTCCACCCCCACCTCCTCAACCTAAGGTAAAGTGCTATTTTTGTTAGTTCTATCATAGTTAGTTAAATTGGAATGGTTGGGAAACCCTTTGCAGTGCTGTCAACTCTCCCGGATAATCCAGGACACTCCAGATTTTGGACCGTATCCCCCGGTCTCCAGATTAGAGTATGAAATCTCCTGGATATTCAGTTGTACACTCAACTGTCCGACAATAAGCTTTTAGATATTTTGGGTTGTTTGAGCTATTTTACTGTTAACATCGAACGTTTCCTCGTAAACTTCTGTATGGTATATTTTGCCATTGCAATGTACGCAATAATGTGAAACATTGCAAATTTGTGATGATCGGTTCAACTAGTATTTTTTGCACAAATGACTTCATATACCATGCGATATGATGTCCCTATCAGTTCTCAATGTTTTAGGATGTGGGGGGTTGACAGCCCTGCCTTTGTTATATGTTTTTGTTAGCCTTTTTGGACCTGACTGTGCACAATGTTCAATAGCATTCCTATCACTTTTAACTTACTGGCCGATAGAAATATTGTATTAATTTATTCAGTCACAATTTGTTAACAAAAAACAAAGGATTGTGCACGGTCAGAAAAGCTTCCAACATAACCTACAGCACCATCGTTTTCAACTTTGATGTTTTCCGGCTTTCATAACCAGTCTCCTCTACTAACTATGGTTCTATTTGTTATTGTTGTTTAACCAGTGGGGGGGGAGGGGGGGCAGAGGGGGTACTCTTATAACTTAACTACAGGAGAGTGTCGCTGAGTCTTTGAGATTCTGAACCTGTTCCAGGCAAAAAGAGAGGAATTTGCACCACTGTTTCAGTCAATTAGCAAAAACAAAAATGCACACAACATCGTTGTTGAGAAGTTGTTTGTTCTTGGGGAATGGAATGTATTTAAGTGTGATCAAGAATAATAAGGGATTCTCAGGAAAAAAATCTTACCCTGTTTCAGTCAGTCAAAATTGAGTAAAATACAGTGAAACCTCTATTAATCAGACCCTCAATTAAGCAGACACCCTCTATTAAGCAGACACTAAGCCAGGTCCCAAAATTAACGTCTTATATTGCCCTTTATAATGAACCCCTATTCAGCGGACACGGACACTAAAATAAATTGTATTTGGCTAATTTCTACTGTTAAAAACCTCTGTTAAGCAGACACTGGACTGAATTGTCAATGCAGCATTGGATTACGTCCATGAAATACATACTGTTGTCGATTAATAGAGATAAATCAATACATTTAGCTGTCAAAAGTTCACCTAACAGTCTTGCACAAAGTACAGCACAGCTTCCTTAGCTCCCTTAAGAACATGGAACTTTATCACAGTACAGAGTAAATGTTGAATGTTAATCATTCACAAACATTGTGCTATTTTTACGAACCTTTATTGAGCGGACACTCTCTATAAGCGGACTCTTGGGAAGGTCCGGAAGGTGTCTGCTTAATAGAGGTTTCACTGTATACTCATCTTGCAGAGATGAAGGTTGAGTTTTATACCCTGTTCAGAGTCGGAGAGACAAAAACCATATCCTGTTGGGTGACACATACCTGTATAGCCCACATATGGGAGTACCACCTCTCTCCTGAGGTTGTTTTGCATGTCTCCCAACATGGTTATCAACAAGTCTCAGGAGAAATTCTGAGTGGAATGTTTCCTGAGACTGAAGGGTATAGAATGGTACCTTGAAAAACATTGGTAATGGAAAATTTTGGCCTGATCTTGAAACCTCGGAAGCAAGTTTCCTTTTTGAGTGAGTTTTGCATCTCGTTATCTTGCATTTTTTTGCCAACTGGTCTCAGTGTCTCAGATTTGTCATTTTTTTTTTCTTACTGTTAGTCGAATTTTTCAGAGTTCATGGGTACAGCTTATCGAACTGAGCTAGTTGTTTTTAAAAGGCAGTAAAACAAGACAAAGCAGTATATTCATGGTAGACTTTCACTGAGTCATTTTCTTTAGCTTTATTTGTACCATTACCTCAAAATTTTCAGCACTTAGAGTCTCAGGTTTGGAAATTTTAGAAGTAAATTCTCCGGCGCATGCTGTAAGTCTCAGTCTCAAATTTTGAAACCAGGGTCTTGAATTTACCATTCTATACCCCTAGACTGAGATGCAACAACAGGGAAAAGGAAACTGCATCAACTATCAAAATAACGTAATGCACCCTAAACTCAAGTTGATCAAGGGGTTGAGAGAAGCATTATAAGACAATGAAGGATGGAGGGAGCATACGGAATATCTGCAAACAGCATTTATGCCAAAATGAATTGCTTGATGTTGAAGTTCTGAATCCTTTTTGATCTGGTTGTTTTCTTAGATGAATAGCTTTGCTTCCTATTGTCTTTCTTTATCAAGTCGAGGGGACCAGTGGGGAGGGGTAATATTGTGCACCCTGGAGTTAGGGGTGGGGAGTGCAAGTGCTTCATATTCCATAAGCTTCCTCCCTAATATTAACTCTATTTGAAGACATATTTAGGTGGCTTAGGTGTTTTTTGTCTTTTTTCAGCCTGCCCAACATGGCGTAAAGCTTCCACCACATCCTGCCCAGTGTCCCCTTTGCAAGAAAGTTTGCACCAACCCAACAGCACTGTCATCATCTGGTTATGTCTTCTGCTATCCTTGTATTTATAAGTACCTTAACCAACATGGTTGCTGCCCAGTCACTCACCTGCCAAGTGCTTCAAAGCAACTTGTTAGACTGTATGTTGATGACACAAACTAGGAAAGAAGAACAGTATTGTTGCCATGTTGGAGACAGTGTTGGTAGTATTATAACATGGTTAGTGTCCTGTTTGCACAGGGCATCAAGGCAACTTGTTAGTCTGTAGGTTGATGACACAAACTAGTAGGGAGTAGTATTGTTGGCGTGTTGGAGACAGCACTATAGCATGATTAGTATTGTGTCACTTATCTGCCAAGTGCTTCAAAGCAACTTGTTAAACTGTATGTTGGTGACACAAACTAAAAGGAGACAGTATTGTTGCCATATTGAAGACAGCATTGGTGGCATTATAACATGGTTAATGTCCTTTTCCTTATCTGCTAAGGGCTGCAAAGCAACTTGTTGGACTGTAGGTTGAAGACAAACTAAAAGGGAACAGTATTGTTGTGATATTGAAGACAGCTTTGATAGGGTTAAATCATGGTTAGTATTGTGTTACTCATCTGTGAAGTGCTTGTTAAACTGTATGTTGATGATGCAAACTTGTAGCCAAGCTAGAAACGATATAGTCAGAAACAGTGTAATATGTAATCCAGACACTCATTTTGCATGTGCTTCAAAGCAACTCATCGGACTGAATGTTTTTGTTTGAAATACCAGTACCATGGCCATACTGAAAAAAAAAAGAATTAGGACATGGATTCTGTCCAGGCTTCCACTTTGCAATGGCTTCAAAACAGCTTGTGAGATTGTTGTGAATTGGTAATGGAGTGCACCGATGTTGGTAGCCTGTTCCAGGCTCCAAGGTAGTCGCATTCATGAAATTGATAAAGCGCAGTATCTGATAGCCTCCACCTTTTCCCCAGATCACGCACTTATATTTTCATGTGCCTTTAACTTATGCATCATCCCTACTATCCGAAAGCCTGGAAAAGGCTATGATGTTCGAGACTCTGTTGCCAGTTGTATTACAACATGGTTGCTGTCCTGTCAGCTCATCTTTTAGGTGCTTTAACCCTTTAAGCCCCCAATATCCACATATAAACTCTCCATACAGATCTTCATACATTTCTAAAAGAAGTAGTTGAGAGAGTTTGATAACAGATCGAAGCATTTTCTCTTTAGTGATCATTTTATTAATTCTCATAAGCATTTCTCTTGGAAACATATGGATATTGTTAGGAGAAAATTGATGATGGCCACTATTGGGACTTAAAAGGTTGAAGGAACATGTTGGGTTGTATGCTGTACAAGAACAGTTTCATAGTGGTAGCTTGAAATCTCCGCGAAGTTTGCTTTCTGGTCATCGATGTTTGAAGTTTTTCAAAGTCAGCTTGCCAGGCTGAATGTTGATGAAGATGTTAATTTTAAAAGAAACTGTAGCACTCCCGGGGGGGGGGGGGGGGGGGGGGCCCCTTTTTTTTTTTAAAAAAAAACCAGTTAATATTAAAAAACCCTTTTGTTTTTTTTTTTTCACAAATTTTTTTTTTTGTTTTTGTAAATTTAAAAAATTTTTTTTGGGGTTTTAAAACTTTTTTTCCGCTTCCT